ATACAGGGTTACCACTTAATATGGAATATTATTTTTTGGCGAGTAAATTTTCTACAAAATATTTAATTTCTCTCTAACTACTTTAAATCCAAAGCTGAGGTGTCACTCCATGTGTAGCCAGGTGTGTTACCTAATTACCACACAACTCTCGAAACAATTGATGCATGCAGTTGCATGTTCTGTGGTCAGAAATGTGAGGGGTGGTCTTTTCGGCAATTTCTGCCCTTGTATAAAAACGCATGGGTGTGGTCAATCTTTGGAGTGTGTTTAGAGAAGCAACAAAGGGATCGCTCTGAAACTTGGCAGGTACATTAGTGAAGATATGGTTCGACAGCTAAGCAACGCAGCTTACTATGGGATTCTTGCTCTAAGAGAAAATGGCCAGAAACGGACAGCCATTGCCAGGTAATTCAACATTTATAAAGGAACCGTTTGTGAAGTCCTCCAAAGAATTGCTGCAACAGGGGCACCTACTCCAATACCTCGACCAGGGTGTCCGCGTATCACACCAAGAAGACAGGATCGCCTTCTCCCTAGAGGACGCCGTGCTGGTCGTACAAAGACAACCAGTGTCCTCAGAAAAGAGAGGCAGAATGTCATTCAAACGCCCGTTTCAAGGTCCCTCGTGAACAAGAGATTACTGCAAGCCGGTTATTTTGCACAAAGGCCAGTAGGGAAACCACTGTTAACAGGAGGTCATATACAGCGACGTCTGCAATGGGCTGGGGACCACGTGCGTTTGCAGCCAAAACACTGGAATCACGTCGTTTTCAGTGATGAGGCCAGATATGGATTTTTTAGGGTTGATCGTCGAATTCGTGTCCACCGACGTGTACGAGGGACATAAACCGATGATTGTGTACTGCCTAGGGTGCAAGCAGGGGATGGTAACGTCTCTGTTTGGGGAGCATTTCATGTTGGTGCCCAGAACCAGTTGGTTTTTCTAGGAGGCAACCTCATCCAGGATTCCTACAGAAACATTCTACAGCAAACAATGCTTCGATTGGTAAGAGTCATCTTCAGGAACAACTTTGTGTACCAAGACGACTGCGCAACCCCACATCGAGGCCGCAGAATCACTGTTTTTCTTCAAAACCAATGGGTTCAGCAACTGCCCTGGCCTGCAAACTCTCCAGATATGAACCCAATTGAAAATCTGTGGGCGGAAGTAACTCACAGAATTAATAGCTATGGTCCTCGGCCGGGAAATAGTGATGAACTGCGACAGGCAAATATCACTGCGTGGAATGATATCCCCAGCCAAACTCTAAAAAACGTGTCACAGGGTATGCCATGTAGGATGAGGGCGCTGCAAGCGGCTGCTGGAGGTCATACCCGCAATTACTGACTTTTCATGATTTACTGTAGTGAGTTCTTTGACTGTGTAACATATCACTGTCCGGAGGCTATCATTTTCTTTAATATCTTATCTCAAAGTTTATACTGACATCAAACTGTTGATATGGTTTTCTGGGGGTGTTCCTTTCTTTTGAATGGCATCTTATGTCAGATTTAATATCATTGAACAAAATATCTCACAACAGAAGACTGGATGTTATTATCACTCAGTGACATACTTTTTTAATGACTCAAGCCAAAAAAATTTTAATCAGCACTCAAAAATAACAATGATAAAAAATATTCCATATTAAGTAGCAACCCTGTACGTGAACTTTTATAGATTTGTTTTAAGTCTGGAACTATTTCTGGACTGCCGTTTCTTGTCGCTATGGAATGATATTGTAATTATCTTATTTATACATCCCTAATACGTAAGGTTCTGATGACTCTCCTGTATAGATATGTTCATGTAGGTCATCCAGTTACGCGTGTAACATAATGATTATCCAACTTCCGTGTCCTGTTAGTACTGGGGTACTGGTTTTTAAGTTGTCCATTTTTTTTTTCAATTTTCTTTATATGATGAAAGAAAGAATCTATAACATGGTGCTGGCTAACTTCGTTATTTTCTCTGACTCTGACCTTGAATGGAAAAAGGTATATAAGATACCGGATGGAACACTTTCTACGGAATTCAAGGATATTCAAGAAACTCGTTGTTTACAGTAAAGAACTGAGCAGGAAAGAACTGAGCAGGAAGATAATACCAGTTATTAAAGATGGTTTTAATAAACAACACAGTAGGAGGTGAATGCATAATTAACTTAATCTAAGCGTGATGCCACGATGTTCTGAGATTGATATCCAACATGTCTTCGTGTCTACTGCAAGGCCTACTGGGTTGAATAATTGTCATTAATAGTGTCTTACAAAAAGTGTAACTGACAGGGTGCCACAGCTGTGTACTATTGTGTTTAGCAACACATTAAGTGAACAATGTGCAGTCACATTGTTCCAAACATAATCTGCAACGTTCTTTAACCTTGATAATTTACACCTGCCCCTGCAATGTTTTTCTTAACAAAACATAAATATTTTGTTACTTCTAAAAGAATCATTAAACGTTTTAAAGTTGAAAAAAATCAAAACAAAAACCAATATTTCATGACATGACAGCAGAACAAGGTTAAAATAGATAGATAGATAGACAGATAGATAGATAGATAGATTGAATAATCGAGGTGAAAATGATGTTCTCTAAAATCGCCACATACTGGTGCGCAGTATCACGTTATAAGATTCATGCCATCTTATTGATTCTACTGATTCATGAAACATCGTCTCAGTCATATTTTTAAAAACTTTCTCCAAATGATCTGGAACTAACAATGCTCGGTAGTAGGTTGCGCATTAATATACACACACATGCGCATGTATAGATTATTTACTGATGTCTTTTGAATTAATTCTTTTAATCAGAGAAGGGACCCCCTGTAATGCGGCTCGGTCAATGACCGATTGTGATTTCTAATTACTGTTGACAGCATTCTTAGGACACCAATTATTTCAGTTAACTTCAGTCTATCAAATCAGGACGTCACGCTGGCCATAACTTTTTTTTCTACGGTAAAAATTTATGTAGATCAGACGTCACTCAGCAGTCCACTACGTGCATTATTGTCTTTTGAATGACAACGAAATTAGGTACAATTAGTAGACCTTTATAAAGATCTGACTGGTAGGCTGGTCGCAATTGGTAGTATTGGAGAAATGTCGGAAAAAGACGCCAACATTTTCACAGCGTCCAGGTGAACGCGTTTGTGTAGATAACTTTGCATATTTTGCCTATCAGGAATGTTTTGCAACGTACAAAAACTGTATTGTATATATGGGTGGTCCTACCTTTCAACGGCAGCAATCATAGTCATCATTGTAACACCGGCCAACAGCATACTTCCTATATACCCAATGAACTGACACAGACCACTGCTAAAGACATAGCTGCCTGGAAGACAAACACATTAAGCATTTAGGGGAAAACGTCTTTCTGTGGTCTAAACATAAATAAAATGAACGTTCTAGTAATTTACAGTCATGTTATGCGCTCTTTGATCACTGCGGGGGCAACGAGAGAAACAAGGAATATCAACAGGGCACTGACGCCTCAGGCGCAAACGAAGGTCTTCGCCATCTGTTATGCATATAACATCACGGATGTCATTGGTGTTTAGCACGCTCTGCTGTGTTCAAATATATACATTTGCAACAAATGATCATCCTGTCCGTTTTTAAAAGTGGAATTCCACACTGAACAGATAATCTTTATAAGCGTAAAGAAGAGTCTACTTTGATATTTGAGTGTCGTTTATCTAGAATTTTTACGTTAATAAATATTTTGTAAACTTAATTATTTCACTTTTCTTTCAAGGCACTAATGTCTTTTCTATACATGTAAGAAACTCGCAGGCTCTGCTAATGAATTAACCTCACCCAAAGAAAAAAATATGTACTGCATATTGCCAACTACTGCATTTCGACTAATCGAAGTAAAAAAAAAGACTGCTCACTATCTACATAAAATGGTGATTTTGGATATGGAATTTCATAGAATGTTGGTAATTAAGATGACTGTCGAACAATAAAATTGTCGAATTGTCGAGGTAATTTTACTAGTAGATTCTTTCTAGATGATAAATTACTGGTCCTACTATAAAATTACCAAATCTAAAAAGTTCGTTATTCAAAACGGAATCGTTGAAACAGTAAAAAAAATTTATAAAAGGTGGTTCAAGGGTATACTGTATACGATCTCTAATGTTTGAAAGCTAATAAAGCAAGAGTAAGCTCTGAAAACAAACTGTGAAGCACAAAGTTCAATTTCGTCAATACAGGCCAAGATAAGACGGGCTGACACCTGTGTAATACGCTGATTTTCTATGAACTGTTAGTGTGTTATCTTATAGACCATTAAGGTGGCAAAGATTGAGAAGCGCGACAGCTCATCGTTCACTTAACGAGGCTCTATTCTAAGACCCCGGTTGCAGCTGCAGGCCATTGTATACAAATTGTCTCAAAAGGCATATAAAACAGCCACATAAAGCCTTACAATACTTGTTCTAATTAGTTTTATATTACTAAACAGAAATATACAAGATCGGGGAAATTACTGCAATTTATACATAATAAAAGTGTGACAATACCAAATATCAGAAAGTGGTCATTTCAGCTGTATTTAGTTTGCCACTTTCAACTGAATGATAAAATATCGCTAAAGGCTTCGAAGGTACATTACCTAAATAACGTACCATGTAAACTAGCAGATTACGAACGCAAACAGGATGAAAAGTCTGTAGGTAAAGTCCTACAAGACTGAAAGTTATTTTCCTCTCGCTTGATTGCTTACTTCCAGTGAACGGCAGCTCATTTTATACTATGTGAACCTTAGGATTCCGTCCGCGTGTAAAACTGAACGCAGACTGTTATCCGTTATGAACAGCGCCAGACGTATATGGCACCAATTCTTTTACGTTTTATAGCCTATTATATCAGTAAGCATTGTGTTAGAACAATTGGCTAAAAAGCTAGTGGGACTTTTTTAAGTTTTGAAAAATCTAATTCAAGTTAACTTTGATCGACTATAAAACATTAACGCCATACCTTTTATAGTTGACACCATTAGTGATCCAATATTGATAACGCCGGTGGCTGTGTTGATCACTGCCATACATAAAACCAAATGGGACACAATTGGGTTCCGAGTTCCTCCTGTTTGTGACATCCATCTGATCTTCAGAATAAGCCCCACATTGACGCATATCACGGCAGTAAGAACGACTCCCAGGGATGAGCCCTTGGCGACCACCGCAGCCAAGCTAGGTCCAACTGTTTCTTCCAACACCTCTCCGCTCATGATACTGCCTTAGTGGCGCCAACCTGAAACACGAGGCATTATTATATTATGTATATCACCTTGGTGACGCATGAACAGCAGCGACATCTGGGATAATAAAACAGTGTCAGTTAGCGTGTCTCGTTGCCGTCCGGTATGCCGGATAACAAGATCAATTTCTTCAAGATTATATTTTAAAAGATACACCGATTCTTATTTTTATTCTTTATTTTATGTGCGCTTATTCTCACGAACGTAAGTCAAAGTATATACATTAAAGTAATCAAAATAATGTCATAAGATCGTGTGCATATTCATAAAATGTTTTAGATGCCAACGTAATACAATTGGCCCGCGGCAAGTGCACAGCTTGAAGGATTGTATTGTGACCTGGAATATCCACTCGGAGGTTTCAACCATTTGCCCAATATTGGTTGATTTCGTATTTGATGTCACTCTATATCAATTGGTGCTACTATACATCGTTCGTAATATACTTCAGAGACTCAATGGTTCACATTTACAATAAATTCCCAAGACAGTGTGGGTAACTTTGCATCAAATGAAATACTGATATAACCCAGTATTGTCGTCAATGGTATAAACTCCCTTCCAGGGATCACAAAAATTTTAAAGCAGATATCTACAAAACTTGCCTGCTTCTGGTGTTATTAATAGATGGGTTAGGTGATGTTGAACATTAAGAAAGGTGTCATTAAAAGTATATTTCTCTCGGAGAATTTTTCCCTTGTATATTGGCGTTTCTTTACGTAAATTGCCTCCAAACGTTTTCATCCAGAAGAGTTAAAAGGACCAGCGTAATCATTGGTTATTGTATTAAAAGGCCACATATCGTGTCAGATAATGCAAAATATTTAAAAACCGCGAAATGTATTAGCTAAGAATGACAGCTTTTAATAATGAGCAAACGCAAAATACTGCCCACAATAGTGTTAGCGTAATTTGATGATTTCCTTTTCAATCAATTTACCACCTTCTATCAGCATATCGTTGCAGTTTCGTTCATCATTATTTCGATTTGTGGACTTGCAAATCTGGATTTCAGAATCTTATTCATCCATCACGTGTTAAGTCATGCACACGCTCTTTTTTCCCTTTACAGTAAAATTTGAATTGCGTATTTTCTAGCAATTTGTTTTCAAACACGCTATATGCAGTTATTCTATATTCAAAACAGCACCCGGCGAAATAATTTCATACGTCCAATCTCTACACAAGATGATGATGCTGAGGAATTGTTTGGCCTTGCTTCCATGATGTATTTAAAAAATGAACATAATAAACATACACACTATTAAATGTAATGAATGTAATGAAGAAAATGTCCCAATTCTTAACAAATACCTTAATATTCGCTTAGGATTATTTTAATGACAACAGTAAACTAAACAGACTAAAAAGGCAACTTTGCCTTGACTTTAATTTAAGTAATTTAATTCCACAGTTTAACCTTTATGGGGTTGCTTGACGTTTTCATTAAATATTCCATTACAAGTGTACTGGAATAATTAGCGACAGGCGTATTATCATCATCTATAAAGCAGCAATTATACAAAAGTCTTTGGCGTTAAATTGTCAGATTGCATATTTTAGATAACAGTGATTAACCTATGAAAACCTGAATATCAAAAACAAAACAATTACATCACCACTGTCTGTTCTACATCGACTTCAATGCTTTTCCACGAAAATTCACCTTCTATTCATATATTGCATTAAAACTTCATATCCTTGAAAACCCTTGTGCCATATGGTTGGGTTACATAAACCTGCTGTATCGCAGTAGACAATATTACAAGCAGCTGAAACACAATACACCATGATCTTCATGACAGATGGTGTAGTACGTTCCACTTGAGTTTCCTTTGTAATCTAATCTGGGGATTAAAAATAATGTGAGACAGGGACTCTATTTTGGTATTTAAGAGCTCGAATAATCATGCTGTAATACTTCTATTTTAGTTTTTTTTTATCTTTACGGTGGTGCTGGCCTGTTGCTGTAAAAATGTAATTAGAACCTCTAGAGCTTGATCATTCGTGTTAGGTATTAACGTATTATTCTTCCAAAAGTAACCAATACGTTGGCGTTAAGATTATAGTTCTTTGTACTTGACCTTACACAACCTGTAAGACTCCCGAGAATTCAACTTATGCCCCGGTTTTAGGTAGCTCAAGTAAATGAAAGGATATTGAGTTGTCTTGTCGTTAACCAATGTAAAGCCAAGAAAACCGATTTCCGGTGCTGGTGTGCAAAGTAGTCGCCTACCAAAAGCCCAAGGCACGATCAGACGTGACTTATCACAGTCGCAGGATAAACAGAAAACTGCATTCTGAACACGCAATTTTTTTAATATCCTGGCTTTTTTCAGCAGCATGTCTATTTTAGTTATTGTGCTCCAAATGCTTGATCCTTTCATTTGTCTGGAAAGATACCCGGGTTAATAAATATATGAATTTGAAAAATGAGTTTGCATGATATATTTGACTTCCCATTGTCCATTAAGTATATAAAGTACATTGCATTGACGCATGTAAATAGCAGCGTCGACATGACTTTTACTTTTCCATGCAAATTAAGACTCTCCTTTTGATAACAACCGAGACAAAGTACGTTGTAAAGATGTAATATAATTAGTTTTATTCCATTTCATTGATTACTTATTCACGCCAACAAATCTAACTCAAGATACAGAAACTAGCTTCACGAAAGGGTTCATATGTAATCTTTTATCTCTCACATCAGTTACAGTAAGCCTGTGCTATGAATGATAAACGGTTCCATTGCCTATATCTATCCCTCAATAGAATAGATAACGACAGCCCATTATTGTTTCCTGATAAAGCTGCTGATTGAATCCCTTAGTGACTGTGGAACCGATATTCCTACATGCTGACATCAAATTTCTGCAAATGTGGATGGTATATAAAAAACAACATATTTTATATAACCCAACTTATAGAACTGAAAACACGGATGCAATTATCTGTTGTGAAAAACGCAAATGCCGAGTCCGCTGTAAATTGTTCGACAAAACATACATGCGTATGTGTAAAACGCTAAATGATGCAAATAAGGAGAAAATATGTATAAGATCACTTTACTTCAAGTATAATCACATTAGAAGCCGACGCAAAACATGTTAGAATCAAAGCAGTTGCCAGCGTACATTACAGTGGTGTACAATGACTGTCCTCTTTAAATATCTATATCTATGGTCATCAAATTATTTCCGCTAAACACAATTCCAAGACCATCTTGACAGATTGCCAGGATGTTAAGGAACGCAATACACACTGCAATTAACCACTTAAAGGATCACACTCTAACTGCACATGTTTCACATGTTTGTATAAGTTTAGCTATATCAGGTTAGAAAAAAATCTGATTTTAACACATACCCCTAGAGTCGCACGCGGTCAAACGGTGATACAAATGACATAAGGCTCTTCTCTTTGCAACCCCACAAATGAAATTATGTGCGCTACTTGTTTGGATATTTATTATTTATGCTATAACATATTCTTTTACTAGAGGATCTTTGAATAAAAGCGGTCGCTACCGGCCAAATTTCGAACACCATATTCGTGTTTGTCCTTTACTTATACATTGGGTTAATGAGGAGACATAAAGGCTCTTCCCCATTGAAACTATCGCTCTACGTAGATCTGGTGATTTTTATACGAGTACGTTGGAAACAAGAAGAGGAGTGTTAGTCTGATTGCATTCAGCGAGAGTCCCATCGGAGTTGGATCCATGCACGTACAACGATTGTTTCATTGGGAACGAGCCCATAGTAAGCAATTCCTCGACCGCTAAACCACAGATAGTGGATTCTTCAAGGACGGTAGACTACCAGGTCAAGATCTAAAAGATCCTGTGGCTTTTGCGGTAATGTTGGTGAACTTGCTCAATGAAATATAGGCAGATGTTCATCACTGTTTTTCTGTTTTTCTTTTCTTTATAGAAATGTTTGTTTCTCTATCTTACCACTGAATAACAGTCAATATGTCACCAAATATCTGCTATTATAGCAATTTAGGATTCTTAGACGTTTTGAATTATTAGCTTTAAGCAAATTTAAGGCAGAGAAAGAGAACAAAATTAACTACCTTACATCAATTGAAACGTTATTGCATATTTAGAGAATGAAAGGAAACCATTTACTGATATCAGCCAATAAAAGACGCATTGGTACTTTTGCCAGTAGCCAGATATCGTTATCTTCCGGCCAAGATGTTTTTCCATAATCGGCCTCGTTTCCGGTATGTAATTACCCTACCGACAATATAATGGGATTTTTCCCATACAACTACATATACAGATCTGCTAGCATAATAGTCACCGGGGAATGTTATGCTCCAGCGCCTTTAAACATTTAATTAACTAAAGACGGGTTTTAAGGTTTTCCTTCCGTCTTGCTACTGATTGCCAAAGCGGATCAGACTTAACTGAGGTTATTGATTATCGCGGCACAGGAATGTCCCCTAGATAGACATTGATTCTGAACACGTACAGGAAAATAGCCACATCCTACAGAAACAATAAAGATACACGGCCTGGCACAAATGTGTCTGATCAGCACGTTAAGTATGCAGATCACAGTCTGAAGGAAATAATCTTTCATTTCGTTAACGGGTTGGAAAAATTAGGAGCTTTTTGAATCAATAGTGTCAGTTTTCCTTTTACAGATTGTTCACACTGCTAATTTGCGAAATATGTTTTATTTGGTCAAATCGAATCGATTAGGTTTCCACACAGAATTTCTATTACCTCATCATATGTGATCCCAACAGTGAGAGATGTGATTTGACATTATCTTGTCTTTCTCGAAATGAAATAATCCAACAGGCAGCGTATGGGTGTATCAACAATTTACTAGCATTCAGTGAAATATAGAAAAGAAACATTTTAATCTTGTGTATTTCCACATGGCAAATGGCATTGATAGCGTCTTTAACGATGGGATTTTTTAAACAGAGCGGTCACATTATTATAATCTTATAATCGACTCCTTGCATGTAACTAACAGATATTTGAAAATTCTAGGAAAAAGATCAAGTGATTAAGTGTCTGGTTCGAACTAGATTTAGGTTCACAGCAACGCTTCATCCATATCCATATTTTAATATTCATAACTTGTATCCCTGATTAGTTAGTATTTGGTTGGCTTCTGTTGGAAGTGCTGGATTAATTACTCAGCATGAGTCTATTTACAAAGTTGCTCTTTAAGACACCTGCCCTGACTTATGATATATATATATATATATAAGTCTCTACATTGTTAAAGGCACAGACAGCAAATTTCTAAGACAAAGTGCTCCATTTACACAGATTTAAATTTGATCGCGTTTTCTATATTTTAACTTGGTGGTTAATATGTAAACTTTAACTTTTCTATTGATCAAAGATAGCAAGGTTTAATGAATTTTCTTTTGAAAAAGCCCATCAAATTTACTAATGCAGCTCGTCCATTATTATTTTATTTTTGTTCTCTCCGATCTAATCTTTTGCCATAATATGTGCCTTTGTGCCTTTCCTCAAATTTGTATGTGTGTACTTTTTTCTTTACTTTGTTAGCAACTTGTGGACTTAAGATGATTTAAACATATCATCTTAAAGCCAATTAATGCTACAAAAGGCCGTTTATTTTGACACAAAACATTCGTTCTTTTGTCTTTAAAAACTACCTGTAAGCACAGCTATTTCGTCTAATAGTTAAATCATGAATAACAGAAATGACAAGAAAAACGCACACAGTATGTAATGGCCTGCCAGTTCATATACTGTATTTGATACAATGTACAAGAAAAATATTGTATTTGTAACACAAAGAAAGGGGTGTATTCAGCATACCTTTACTGGAAACTGGTATTCAACCCTACTTATTCTCTCTCAGTGATATTTTTTAACTACGGCAGTCAAAATGTTAGCAGGAAAGACTATATTCTTTCTAAACTGTCAACATTACAAACCTGTATCTGTGCGAGCTCAGCGTGGCAAGCTTCTTTAGTGGAGTATGTTTGTCGCTGCTGTCTCTCTTTTACCGAGTAGTTTTTGCCATAGTGTATCCTCTTAGAGCCGTATGTTTGTTACGTCTCCTTGTTCGAAAAGGTAAACATTGACAGACCTGGATATTTGCTTTTAGTTGAAAATGCCACAAGCTGTGCAAACTGCTCCTAATAAGGAAATGTTAATGAAATTATTCCATTAAACAAACCACGTGATACACGTAAAACGCGCATAAGAAAAACAAGTCCCAGGAAGCTGGACTAACTCAGTTCTTTAACTTGTTCTTTCGTCTCCTTTTGCGTTTTGTTTCCGTGTTAGAGCTACCCACGATCCATCCATTTCTTATGGAACATCGCGCTGAATTGGTGGGAACCGTGCTTCGTTCATGACATTGGTGTTTTTTGTTTTTGCTGCTTAGCCTGATGATTGAGAAATGCCGTGGGCAGAACCACCCGGTTGCCTCAGTGCCGCTGCCACTTTGCACAGGTCACGTTCTTGCACAGAGGAACCTCAGAGTGCGGCTTATATGGCACGGCCTTGTTAGCACGGCGCGCTAGGTGGTGAACACGAACAGTGATCGCAGGAATGCAAGATAAGCACCATCTGCCGTATTGGGAGCCGGTGCTCTCGCCTAGCTGAATCCTCAGCATTATGATTTGTGTCTCTGTTACAACGATTGTAAAAGAATCATTGCTGGGTTGTTCTGATAAACCTACTGAGTTAAAATGTGAGCTGTGGAAATTCCGGGCCATTACCCCAAGAATGACAGGCCAAACAGTGTAAATCCGCAGAAATTTTTATCGGCAGGAAGAGCGCCCATGGGACCTGTGTTTTTCTTCCCATATTAATTTTCTGCCCTCGAGCTGTATGAGCTGCCGGGCGTGAAAACATTGAGATTTATTGGATATTATTTTTGACCGCTTCTGCCATTTGAAGTTAACAAGAAGTAATTTGAAACATTTGTTTTGCGAAAAGACAGCCAAAAATTCGACCCCAATTTGGGTGTAGTAAATTGGGGTCACTGTTGTGAGGTTCTTCTTTTTTCAGTAAAATTGAAGTAAAGTTAATAAAGATTTGTTTCGTGTTTCGTAGTCTGCAAAAAATGCATTTCTTGTAAGTGTGGAAGGTAATCAATTGGAGTGAGCAGAAAGATTTTCGCTTTCTCATAATTCACATTAGAAAACAGTCCAAAGCATCTGAAAGCCCAACACGCAACACTTGAAAACAGGAGGAAAAAGGCTGCGTGACGAAACCTGTAATACGGCGTTGCATGAAGAACCCATTGAAATGATACCTACTGAAATGAGACCTGATGAATGACTAATTATTGTCGTTCTTTGTGAATTATTTGTAGCAATTTAAGTATTTCTCACAGTTTCATCATTTGAAACCGTTTTTGCTTGCATTGCATCATTCAGTAGCTTACTTTGAAAAAAAAAGACAAAAATAGCTTTTTATTGGTTTCTTGTCACATTACATGGCGCGTTGTATATTCTAAACTGTCTCCATTGTATAACATAGATTTTATTTATTTCATTATTTTTTTCTTTATTTAAAACATTCAGATGAATTGTTAGTTGTCAAAAAACATTGAATTGCGATATCACGCAAGCAGCTCTTAATGCATTGGCATCGTTCCAGAAAATACGTAGTAAAAGCATGATGGTGAACACGTATGACAAGAGTTTATAAAAGAAAAGCCACAGTTTGGTTACAGTAGATCAAGACGCACATTTTTATGGAGTGCCATTTTAATTTACAGGGACATTGATTAGAAGATCGATAGTATGTGACCATCTATCACAAAAAATGATCCTAATCATTGTAATATATGGACAACTAGAAAAGCACTGCGAGAGCGCAAACCTCCGCCAAGGCAGCGATTTTTGATTATTATTGATTGATTATTGATCCGGATCACCACCGGAGGTAAAAAGTAAAAATGGCAAGTTTACGTTTTTGGTCACTTAAACATGTGCCTGTCCATCTTTGTTCTTTGTAAATTGTAGGCCTCCTACAATCTTTGACTGATATGCCTTTTACATTGTAACGTAGCCTGCACTGTTTGACACTGCATTTGACATTTGATGGGAAATCCACTCTTACAGCTGCACACGCCTTTAGGCTTATTAATATTAGAACCCTGTACCTTCATATACTGAGCCCTATTTGGAACAAAAGAACATGAACGTTTCAAGACTAAAAAAGTCGTCAAATTGACATTGGCAATCAGTGGCAATGTTACAAGTTTTCATCATGCTTCGAAATAAATGTTTCACAAGCATCTTTTTCTCTTGAAAAAAGTCACCTTAGAAACACTATTGGGTAAATGCGCCATTATGGCAATATTATTGCCTTGGACGAATCATTTGGTCCTTGGCCGATGTATTCATTGATATCAGTGCAATTAGTGTCAATACATGTCACTTGGCATATGTAAATTGGGGTGTTTGTTAGATATTTTTTGTAATAAATCTTCCTATTTTCCTTCAAATAAACTGGGTAGGCCCTACGTTTCAAAGCGTGTTATACGAAAGTGCAAGTAACGTACTGAATTGTTCACTTGGCTTCAACTAAAGGAAGAGTGAACAAAAGGAGGTCTAATAACAAATATTCAAATGGCATTTTGAGTTTAGAACTCGTGAAAAGGTGTAAGAAACAGAAGGTCACCAATGACGCTAGGAAGTATTGTCTAAAAAAATTAAAATTCCCTTCATGGCGACTGCGATATTCCGGAAATTGCATAGTGAATCTTTGGGGACAGTCCTTTTTGGCTTTTGTCAGCAACTTTGACCTTCAATACCAATGCACAATATGGTTGATTGGACCCGAAAATTACAGTATTTACACGAAATATTGTTGCACGCGTTTCTTTATAAATCCGGTCGACGGTTAGGTAATCATAAATTGACCCACTCAATTATGTGAAGTTATTTGTTTATATTTGTCAAATTATATAACAGATAATTATTTGTGTGGACTGAAAGGTAAAAACCACTTGTGAACAAACTGACCATAGGTAAAACACTTCAAGTCTATTCGATGAGCTGATCACTCTCTACACATTTTGAAAGAGCTCAAAAACGCAATGAAATCTAAGAAGAAAGAGGTAACTCTTCTTTAATCAACAGCTTGAATTGAAATTGTTGTTTACTCCCAATATCTCGGTCTATTTATCTATGTACAGCATCTTCGTCAGGGAATGTGGCGATCCAGGCGAATAGCTTCTTACTGAGAGATGGCCTATTGTAGAATATTTGAGACAAACAACAATTTTTTAATTCTTGCTGTTTGAAGAAAAATTACTGCGCATTACATGGCTGATGAAGATGTTTTCTGACTTACGGTGGAATCTAACGTTGGCGTGTCGTGGAGATGCCAGTGGAGACCAAGGTGAGTGAAAATCAATGTAGTGTTCGAAAAAACAAGTCTTCATTTCCTGGAAGGGATCCTCAGCTGAATCGAGTGGCAAGATTGTATGTTTTTCAAAAGACCTCAAATAAGACTTGAGGTGTAGTATCGTAAAAGTCACATCAGGATGATTATGTACACAGATACCAGTACTGCTATCCATCTAACTTGTGTATCATCTGTTCCACATCCCACATTAGTTGTTTTTCCTCGGGTTTCTGGTGTGTTTAATATATATCTCTCTGTGACAATCAGTTATACACACAGCCAAGTGTATTTTAATACAAAAAATTTATAAAGATAAATTAATGTTCCGAAAACTAGAACAGATTAGCTGATCACCTCATAGGCAAATTAATAGATGAATTATTTCAACATACTGGAAACCGTTTTTACCTAAGAGATTGTCTACATTCCAGGAAAACATCCATACTTGTTTTCCAGCGAAATAAAACAACCCCAAATCATTTGATTGCCTGGTCAATCAAACTCGTTCACAGCAAGTATAATCATCTCTTTTTTTTTTTCTTTTCTTTTTTTTTTTTTTTTTTTGTTACCACAAACAGCATTTTAATACTGCATCAATATGATTTTGTTTCTCTGTCCCATGACATAAAAAAGAAATACATAATCATGAAAAATACAGTAATTTGCACCCTCAAGGAGAGGAAGATTCAGGTGTATTTAATGTATGAAGCAAAACCCTTGGGTCTAGAAGAAGTTGCTATTAAAAGATAAAAAAGATACCCCCCAGCAAAATCACCTACGGAATCGATATATTTATCACTTTTCCAAGAATGTGAAACAAGAATTAAAAATATATAACGTTTCTAGGTCAATTTACTAATGCTGAAGCTGCGGGTATACCTCTAGAGTTAAGATATCTAGCAGCGTTTACTAAGAATTACACGAGCCATCATGAGGACACCTGTCAGCTTGCATAAAACGCATCCGAAATCAAATTGTTGTCAGTGATGCTACTTGTAGTCAGCAACTTCATAATCCTTATATTAATATAATCGTTTTTATTTATTTTTCATTTTGTTTTATTTATTTTTGATTTATATTTATTTATTTATTATTACTATTATGTTTCTTTTTTTTTTGCCAAAAATAAGCAAATGCGTTGTCTTGAGTTTCATAATACTCATAATACTACTCTTTTATTGTGTCCCAGTTCTCAATGCGCTGGCACTACCCCCACGTCTTACACTGTCAATTTTCACTTGCAATATCAGGGGCAGGAGGTAAGAATCAAAAGTGGAAACTTTTTTGTTGTTTCAAGCGTATAAAACGAAAGGTTCATTCATTTTTATCATCATTTTCACAAGTCTAAAAACCGTAGGGTGGGGAGAGGGGGTTATTACCCCCTCTGTGCGCTTATATATATATAAATTATGTCTAAAGTGCGAGCATCTGCCCCCAATGTGACAAAGTGAAAGATATGACCAGCGCGAATAGGAAATTCTATTAATATTGCTTTTAGAATTCGAAAAATAAATGGGGATTTCTCAGAAGCTCTCTTGTAATCCGAAATTGCCCTTAATCGCCTTAGCAGTAGGCTCCTGAAAAGGGTTAGAGATATCATTCCTAAAGCTCATTTAAAAGATATCCATCGATATAAAGTGACAGATAAGTCAATAACGCGAGCTATCTTCACACATTATATTTTCGCGTTACAAGACCAGTCGGAGCGGACTGCCATCATAACGCTCGGGTCAATGACTTCAAGGTAGATATGGAGGTTACTTTGTTCCTTTCATTGTGCGAACTTGCCAGGTTTGTGCATGCGATGACACTGGGGCAGACCATACTTTTATATATACAAGATCCTCCCTAGTCTGGTATACGACAGTAACAATAACTGGTCATCAATCAAATAAGTTTTCGGGCATTAAATTTACTAGACAATTGTATACGGCAAAACATTTTTCTCTTGTTAGAAAAAAAGGAAGAAAGACCGTCGAGGAAAACAAGAGATCGCTTTCATTCTAGTGATCTGAATGCGCTTTCCACCAGCAAATGACAATACTCATACTGTCTTCACACAATTTAGTCTAATAGGGTTAACCTTTGGAATGCGTTTTGGTTCGATTCTCTCATTGGCGTTTTTCATTACAGAAGAATAACTCTACTTCCTATGGTAATGTTAAAAGGTTTCATTTTTTATTCAGGACTGGAGACATGCAATCTTCTCTTGATAAATACGAGAATCATTATCTCCATATATTTCATAATGGACATGGGAAACAAGATCACATCTCACCAAATAAAATGTCACATACTTTGAAAATTCCCCAAGACGAATTTCCAATGAAGATTAAGAAAAACAATAAGATATGCAGACTAATCACAAGTTAATTGGTTATTCTTAAGTTTATCATTGAATAAGCATTGTACCCTTCATTATGAAAATGGAATGACCTTATCAAAGTTCCTCCACCTATAATACTGCATATAACTTCTATTCTAAGTACGTGGGATACTTTTGTCTGTCTCCACTCCCTTGCCTCTCTAACATGATACAAATTATGAGTTGTCTTTAGCCTTTTCTACTTACAATTAAAAGTATTTGTCGATTGAGATGTGCAATCATCCTCATAAAATGGAACTGCACTTATGGATTTATAAAACTCTTGTGCAGGGGCATTACTTTGACCTGCACATTTTCTGAAATATCAAGTGATCAACAGTTCATTTTCATAATTGACTTTTAACAGCTTCATTTTTTTCATATTTTAGTGTAGATTTGAATTCTCTGTTTCTTTCAGCCCAACTGATATGGAAATCACTTTTATACAAGAATGGGATAAATATCAATTTCTCCTGGCTAGCTGCCCCAAACATAGAAGTACACCTTTTGCCAAACAGGTAAATACTGAAGCAAAGGCCCTGCAAGAAAAAAGGTCAATATTTCATATATTACATTTCATATATATAACAGTTCAATAGCATTTCTGTCTATTCTAAATCAAACCAACCATCTGTACAGACTGAGAAAATGCACAAACAATACTTACTTCAATAACAATTTCAGAATCCATCTATAAACAAGTCTAGCTGGCAATTTCAAGACTTTATATTTAACTAGGTGTCTTGGACCCCGCTCCAATACCTAGAGCAACCTAGCAGGATCGACCCATCTCCAAGGGGTTTCTTGCTAAATTGCATTCAGCTTAAGGGGCTCTGATGTCTGGCATGCCTACTGATACTGTTAGAGGGTAATTAACTATCGTTTAGCAGCCTCAGTAAGTGTGCCAGACATCTAAGCTACTTAAGCTGAATGCAATTTGGCGGGAAACCCCTCAGAGATGGGTTGATCCTGCTAGATCCATCTAGGTATGGGCACGGGGTCTAAATTTACAAATAAGTACGCGACTTGAATCCAAATTCCACTAATCGTCAAACAAATATTTTGTTTCATACTTACGTAAAACAATTCCTGTTCCTGGCACATTGTCTGCAAGAATCTTCAACAGAATGACTATCTTGGCCCTTAAAAAATAATAAGCAAATATTCAGATTTCCTTAAATTTCTGTGATCTGTTTTCTTTTAATAAATGTAATTGCTTTAAGATAGTAACAAATACTGGCTCTTTCAAAAATGAAGTAAATTACTGGCCTTTTTCTGGTAATTTATAAATATTTTACAGGCAGGAAAAATTCATTATTTTGTTTCTCAAAAGAATTGTGTGGGTAGGATTGGTTATGACCCAGTTTGTTTTATAGGTATGGCATTTTTCCCAATAGGCAGCAAAAAATAACCCTAAAGAATCCTTACTGTGTCTGGCTGTCATAAAATGGTGATCTCAGTAGATAATACAGTAGCATCACTGTCCTTCTGTGCAGCTCTGCTCTTTCTGCTGGGTTCAAAGACTTGGGATCCCCCATCAGCAACAAACTATAATTATAAAACAATAAAGAGACGTACAACACCATAATTCAGTTCACATACACTGGTTTCAAATCAATAACAGGAAACTTGAAGCAGGTGCCATTTGCCTAATTTGGCTATTATACAGATAGTGCTTGTAGATACATGTTATCTCCAGGGGCTTTTCAATTAATAATCCAGAAGAGTGCAGCAAGTTCCTGACTGTATAAATGGCAGCTATTCCAATAACAGTTCCCATGTACTTCTGTAGAAATGTTGGTTATAAAGTTCACCAATATTAAGAAAAGCACCGCGCTGTGTATTCTGACCAAGAAACTGAATTCACTTAAAGCTGCAGAAAGTTGTTGGACATAAAAAACAAACACACCATGCCAAACATATTCTACATATACTAAGTACTGTATAAATACATAAAAATTTTATCTTACATCTTTTCCAGAAGAATGAAAAACCAGTGATTGTTTCTTTTCTTTATCATTATGTTAGAAAAAAAAAATAAGGCAGCAGAAACGAGTGGTAGAATTGGCAAAATTTAAATTTCAAAGTAAGATCAACAATGGCCAACACATTTTAGCTGCACAGTGAGAAAAAGTAGGTTGTATATGATTTACCTGGACACATCCATGGCTCCTGCCACCAGCCAGGGTTTCCAGGAGCTCTGTCCAAATAAGTACATGGATAACACTGAGGTAGAGATGAGGAAGCAGTTAACATGTATCTGACAATACTGTGGCTAGACCCAGATTTATTGCATTTTTGGATATCATTTGCACAAACAGGACTTTGTGTCAATATTGCTTTTATTATGCTTTGTATCTATTTATAATGCCTAAGAAAATCATCAGTTAACACCCCCCTTTAATGTATGAAATCACTCTTCCCATGATTTAATGCACATGCCAAATCAATAAACATTTTTTAAACACTTGCACCTGATTTAGAATAAAATCAAATAAATCTTATTTACAACATCTCTCCTTCTAGATAATGAAGCTTGCAGTTTGGAACTACAACTCTCACGATGCTGGATTCAAGAAGAACTCATCATGTGCTCAATCATTCAATCAAACTGATATATATTATTAAGTCTCACATGGATATAACCAAACCCACTGTCACAGTGAAGAAAGCTGTGATCCACTTCAACATTACACCTAACACAATACTTATCCAATGCAGTCTCAATCCTCACCAAGTACTGAGGAGTTTACAGATTACAATTTTCTCAAAGGTTTTGAACAAGGTATACCCTGATGATTAAGGAACATTATATTTCCAGGATAATTTTTAATGTTATGTAAGGTCTAATGGGCAATATATGCCATTAAAGATGCATTTGAAGTCATTTTTGCCACAAAACTCCTACCAAATGCTACCATATAGTTTCAAATGGTATAACTTAGAGAAATACCAAAGGACATTGTTTCACATTTCCGGAAAAATTAAGATATTTTCTGCTTTTTTCTGTGCTCCGTTAAACCCTCAATCATTCTTGCAACTCTGTATTAAATTGCCTGCAAAGCTACATTGTGATGATCATGCAATGTGCATGCAGTACAATGTGCATGCATCATTTAGCAGACTTTTACTAACTTAACAGGTCTTTTTTCAACCAGAAAATTGAAGAAGGTGTCCTTAAAATTTAAAGCTATTTTTGGGCTGAACAAGGAATTAATTTGGCTAATGACTTGGCATGTCAACTTCACAATTGTATGAGAAATTAGTAGAAGTGGTTTATATGTGTTACTAGGAATCCACGCTCCTTTTATATAATGATGCTTAAATGTAACCTAGCAAATAGCATGTATTAATTCAAGGATACAATGTGCCAAAGGCCTTGTTATATGCAAACATTCCCCTGTAAATCTCTGCTTATTTAGTACAGTTGGCATCAAATCTTCCATCCCTGTTGTGTTTTTGGTTTTTTTTGCCGCTGGTAATGTCCATGTTCTCAATTCCATAGGAGGGGCTGAAATAGAAAGAGGGGTATATCTGAGATGAAATCTATACACTAATGTTTACAAGAGAAGTGTTCTTTCAGTTACCATATAAAAAAGTATTTTATTTGCATTTTATTTTTTGTCCATCAACAGCTATATATTTCACTATTTGAACAGTACTGATAAGATGTCCACACTATACCTGCTTCCAGTGTGCGTATGACGCGTCCCGACCTTTCTAGGGTGACGGTCACAGGCTCTTTTGATTTCTGGTCAGAGTTGGGATGATGTGAAGGATCTGTCCTATCTCTCTGCAATTAAATATATAAGGTTGAAAATGCTTCCGGAGGCCCAAGACACTGGCTAATTTCCTAGTTGAGTACAGAGATGCAAACAAACACACACACACACACACACACACACACACACACACACACACACACAGTTGGTATTAAAAACTGCGAGTACATAAGAACATATAAGATTACGGTTGCTCACAGTTTTTGAATTTTCAATCCATCTGACATATTCACTTCAAAGAATGTTTTTCAAAGCATAGTTTAGCATTCTTGATATGTATCCCTGATATATAACCTTTCAAACCTGAAATACTGTATTCAAGAAATAAACTTTACATGGCTGCCTGCAATCTTGATTTATGTCAATTGTGATTTATGCTGGCATTTTAACCTACATTTCTCACCTTAATGTTTTGTTTGGGTACTTCATTCTCCCTGTCTAGGGGGGGAACAGGGGGTATGGACTGGATGCCAGACTTGAACTTCAATAGTAAGATAAAACGAAATGCAGCCCTGGAATTGAAACAAAAATATTATGAACACAAGTGTTTTTTAACATGCATACATATCAGGAAAATTGTAATTGCATATCCATAATAATCATAATAAATATACTTCTTAATATATGGGATAAAAATAAGGAAACAAAATAAAACACATGCTCTGATTATAAGGACAGGCTTACCACAGCGTGCACACTAACAAATGTACATCACATACAGCTAAAATTACAAACAAATGCTCACAAGACACATGTAATCTAATACTGCTATATAAAAATACAACTATAATGCCTTACTTAGTTATTTCAATGCAGGCTACAAGAATCCACTTTCCTGTCTCCCCAAACATGCGTGTTGCCAGCATCTCAATGAAGACCTGGACATATTCTAAAACAGTCAGCAAGGTGTGCAGGCGTGCTTGGGACACTGGCTACAATGATACAAAAATAAATAAATAATATTTGGCGAAAAAGCAACAACAAAAAATTGTAATATTTGCAAATTTTGTCAAGTTATTGATATTTAGAACAAGGCAGCGCATGCTGTCAAACGGACAGAATTATATATAATATATATTCTTTTTACAGTAGCAAAACAAAATGACACTTGAGAAAATACCAATTTGCATGATAAAGGACAAAGATGGGCCTCTCTTCAGAAACAAAGGATCAAAGAAACCCATATTACATTTATTTGGCTAATGATGAAAGCATTCTACTTGTAAAATAAAGCAGACACAGGTGATGGTTATAATGTCCAGATACTGCCTGTCAGTAAAAACAGTATAATCTTAAAAATTCAAAAAATTAACTACTAGTAATTAAGCATCTCACTCAAATAATGCCTGATATACAAATTATTAGAGCAATTCAGAGACCGCATAATTGTTTTTCTTACCACATTGATGGATAACATGTTGGCCTTCCGCAGAATTCCATCATTGAGTAGGACAATAAGATTTGAAGCAGAGTAAACTAGTTCTGACAGCACTGGTGAATCACTGAATCGTCCTGAAATTAGAGTCAATACGTAACTAGAAATACACCCCTCACTTCACCCTGAATTTTTCCAAATCTGCCAAGGATGTAAAAAATTTGACTGTACTATTTAGTATATGGGAAATAGAAAGGAAATAGGTGCCTGTGTTTACAATGCATAAGCCCATACCAAAAATTTGACCAAATTTATGCCCTTTAATGAGCATTTTCTATGTATTGAATGGATTTGACTTATTTGGATTATGATAAGGTTTATTTGGGTTCAAACCTGAGTGACTGTGGAAGTATTCTATTCACACGTACTTGAATGAAGTCAAAAGTAAAAGATGTGTTGGCATTCATTATGTGTGTGAAAGTTGTCTTCCAGAGTTTCTCAATGAAAAGTAAAAGAGATAAACATGAAAAAATGTTATTTTGGCTAGTAATTTGTAATAAATATCTGATTGAAATTGAATAAAGCAACCTATTTGATTTTGGAACTGAGATGGCAATTCTGTTGTTTCTGACACCAGCACCGCTTGCTGATAGGATGTCATGAAAAAGACTGTATCTGCAATCATTATCTGCTTCCACACTAAGGTAGCTAGTAACCCTACTCAGTACTGGCAGACGAAAAGTGCATAGGTGTTGAGAATTAAGATGGAATACAATGGAAAATGAATTCTCCCAATATTTTATGGCACAACAGGTGACAAATCCTACAATTACCATACGACAGCAAGAATCCTAACCTCCTAACATGTCGGCACAAATTAAGTTTTAGTAATATATACTACTAAAATGGTGACATTACAAGTCTAAAATACTTCATTTTCTCTACTGCTGCCTATCTGGCAAATCTAAGCCAGTAATGTGCACGACCCTCTTACTTTTGATTATTACAGCATGTCACCTGGCATTTCAATGCAGAAACTTCCTAAGAGCAGATCCAAACAAGGGCACACTGTTAGAAATGAACAGAGCCAGGTCTAATAGTGAAGGAACATCTGTATCCTCTTTTGTTAAGCTTAAACAAGGTAAGAAATATCTATCACTTAACAATTTTATATCTTTCCTACTTCAAAGAGGGTTCCATCTGAAAATGGTTCTGACACTGATAGTTGTCAAAAAACAAAGTTTTAGTACCCTAAATAATATAGTAAAATGTTTGGATCTCTGAGTCTCTTTTTCCAGTTAACGGTAGCATGTAGGCCTAAGGTCGCAAACTGAGGCAAAGTCCGATGTGGTCCAAAAACAAAAAGAAGAGGGAGGGTCCACATGTTAATGATCACATGTTAACTGATATACATGTATATACATAGGCGGTCTATATGTAACAACCTTTACCTGACAGAGTAGTCCAAAAATGATTTTGAAAATAATACCGCGGTACTACCTCCCTTTAATTTCAAAGTTTTACATGTACATTTGTCAGTAGCTGAAGGCGAAGCAGGAAGTTGGTTAAAACACTTCAAAATATCCGATGAAAACGATTAATCAGAGATAAAGAAAGTTAGCCTACCTGCAGTTGCGTAAGACCCTAGTCTAAATATTGTTTCTACTTGGGTCGTAGAGTCCGGATTATTTGCTATGAATTTTTTGTATTTTTGTATGAGTTTGTTTATGTCGTCCGCCATTTTTGCAGGTGCCCATGTGAATAAATAAAGTACGGGATTGGACAGTACGTAAATTAGGTCAACCAATGAAGCTTTGCGACACATTGCCATTAAATCCGAGGAAAGGGGAGATAGTGTACAATGACCTCGGTCGATTCTACGGCACGAGTTACTGGCAAGATGAAATGTCGATGTTAGGTAAGTGCAGTATAGTCTGCTCGTTAAAAGAGACACCGTGAGCATCATGTCGTTTCAAAGTAAGATGCCTTACGCGTGCATACCATGCGCATCTCTTCATCCATAAATCTGTGGCCGTGATTGTGTTTTCTGAATCAGTGTATGTTTATTTTATTTATCTGTTTCGACTTGGGTTTGCTACCTTCGTTCTACTTTTCTTCCTCTAGCTCTCCTTTTCAAGTTTTCTTGAATGTACTTTAGCACTTCAGCACTACAATTATTATGAAAAGCGCAACCTAATGTGCCAGAGTAATCAGTATGCAAAGGGTAGCACTAGCAGTGTTGGAAATGATTTTAAAGATTGCCTTACCATATACCATAGTACTTCTATGCATATACTTAATAGCTAAAATGAGTCTTTTTTTCTTACTGTTAACGTTATGAAAAAGTAACATTTAAATGTAACATCAGCAACCGTTTTTTTATAATTATTTTTCCAACGTGTAAGATGCTACGCTTTCTTTAGCAACAAGCCACAAACACTGCTTTAACACTTGTGCCATATTTTTGAAGACCTCAGCTACAGGACATTTCATAGTATTTTGGACAGTAAGATAAGTGAAGAAAATGTTTTGATGAAATTTAAGACAAATTCCATGTAAGCTTGGTAGTTCTATTCATGTTTTATTTTATTTTATTTTATTTTTATTTTTTTCATTTCTAGTGTACTCCATTAAGTATACTCCCCTCCCCAATAAACAATAATGATAAATATTTTAATAATTATAATAAAACTGCCTTCTGTGGTTTTAATTAGGATTTTTTTAAATTAAAAGCCTTACAGTTTGAATGTTCTTAATCCAGAGTCCATTTATTGAATGGAAAACTAATGAGTCCAATTTTATCCCTAACAGAGGAACGTTTTATGTCACAGAACCCAGGATGCTTGGGTTTTTATTAGCCTTGTCAGAGGTATTATACATACCAGTAGTAAAATTGACTGTATTAGTTTAAATATAGATGCAATTTTGAATAGTTTCCACTTCTCTGCACTTCCCTGCTATAACTGTCAAGTGCTTTTCTGTCCATTAGAACAAGCTGATTAATCCGACTGTGCCATTTTTATTTCATGTTTTTCAAACTGTTCTGCTAAAACATTCAACAAGTTTGTTTCCTAAAAAAGAATTAGCTTACATCAGAATTAGCATGCAACAAGGATTTTTAAACCCCAAAAGATATTACTCATCTTGAATCATATACATTGAGTAACGTGTAACATTATCCAGATCAATCAATGAAAAATAGACTAGACTTTTTAGTGAAAGATTTATGAAAGCTCTTTGTAATATTGAGTGACTTAATGTAAATTTGGAGATAAAAGGTTACAGATATTCCCCCCATGTGGCCCAGTGTGTACATCTTTAGGTAGAAGAATGCAATCTTTGTGTACAAATAAAATTCATTTGTTAGATTCTCAGCATACCCGTGTATTAGTGTTTGCCTTTGATGTTAACGAAAGTTCAATTGAAAATATATTAACCTAGAGGTTAATTAAACTGTTAAACAGTTGACACCAAAAAAACACAGTAGAACAACACGCCCTTTTAGGCTTTAGGTCTCCTTAAATTTCACTGAATAGCAACATTGATGCATGGCATATAAGTGCATGGCATTAGCACTGATAACATTAGCATTTTAGATAGGATGTTAATGTTGACCATTCTATATGCTACCTATTTACATAAACACACTCTTATGATGAGAACCAGACTAAATATATCAATTTTACCCTTGAAGTGTCAGGTTGTTTTTCAGTCATTCTTTTTTACCTGATTAGTGATATATTTTGTGAGATCTTGTTTTTGATGATATGATAAAGATCTTGGACAAGAATTTACACGAGAGAAATGAATCGGTTACTGGTATATAAAATCATCTTTTATTCTTTTAAACTGAGATGCTTCCATTCCAGTGACCCAGGAAAACTGTCTGGCTTGTTTCCCAAATTCAGTACAGGGATTGAATGAAAAAAAAGTTAAATGTACAGTTTCAAATAGCATAACATTAACAAGTGCTTGTCTTTGCATTGAAATATTTAAAAGACAACTGCAGTGCTAATTTATCTTTGTTCAAGTTTATTAGGGACTCAAATTACGTACTGTACTTCAGTGATGACACATCAAACAGGTTCTTGATTGAGATACCATTTTTTTAAAAAAGGGTCTGATTAATGTTAATGGCTTTCACCTGTGGTCACTCATTCTCTGACCAGCCACATTTCTTGATATGGTATTTGGCAAAGGTTATCAGTGAACTGTTTTTCAGCTGACTGTATAGATAGTTTGGATCACCCTGAGTTCTGATGTTTCTTTTTCTGAAAGTTCTGAGTTAAAATTACTAAGAATGTTAAGATCACTTTACTTTAACTCTCTCCAGCACAAGATAGTTCTGCCATAAGTTAAGATCACCCCGATAATAACACCCAGAAAAATCACTGATCTGGGATATTTAGATAAGCAGCAGTCTTGAAATGCCACTGCTCACATTTTGTTGCCCATGACATTCTTTATGAAATTTTTAATATACTACACTGTATATGAAGTGATAAATAACTATGAATGAATATTCAGTGAGTCTGAATTTTGGCTATCCTTGCTTAAAGGCAGATCAACTAGTAAAGGTGTCAATTTTAAAGGTGTAAAATGTGTGTTGACGGGCACAGGTTTATCCATAATAAGAGCATTTTTTCTTGGCAAACCATCCATTGCCTTTTCTGTCATGACAATATACACAGGGTATCTAGGATGGGCTCCAGTGCAAGGGTATGGATACATGATTAGGGAGGGCAGAGCAGAGGTAGTGAATACCAGACCATACAACCACATAGCTGAGGCCAGTTAGTCCGGCTTCTGTTTCCTCAAACAGTAATATGTGGCTGCTGATTGAAGTTTAATGGGGTGATACCTCATAAGAAAGAGGAAGGCCAACCAAGTTTATGCACTGGATACATCCTGTGATCAGGTTAAAATCTAAACTGGTACTGTTAAATACGGCTGACCCTTTGTACTGTAAAGAGGGAGATTGTTCCTACTAGTATTTTAAAAGTAGCAAAGCTCTCAGAAGATTTTACACCTTCGTGTGTGTTAATTGCTGTTCGGGCATCCAAGGTTTATACCAGGTAGGTCGCCATGTGGGGTACTGCAGTTTGGTAGAAAGCTTGTATGTTGTGTAGCTGAATTGGACTTCCCTAGTTTTGTTTACTGCTGAATTGAATATATATCTTATTGGCATTTGCATTTTGGTAAGTTGGATTGGTTCTTGAAAGTTATTTTACACCAGTGATGTACAGAAAAAGTGCTCATCTAATAAATATTAGTTGATGTTGTGGTGAAATATTTGTATCTCACAGTTTTGTAAGCTTTGGAAAATGATAATTTTCATCTTAAAATGTGCTTGCCTACATGCTCATTCCAAGAAGTTTAGGAAGTTATTGCATTATTATGGTTTGTTTTTGTTAAAGCCAGTTGCCTACATTGGATCCAGAAGGCAAATTAACATGGTTCTTAGGGTTTTTTTAGCCACTTATCGTACTATTTTTGAACAGCTAGAGTAAATATTGAGCTGTTGGCTCATTATGTGCTTCCTTTGGCAATGCAGAACTTAAATAACATCCCTGTTGCTGTGTTGGTAGCACTTCATCAGACACCGAAGTAGCACTACTTATTCCGACTTATTCCCAGCACTCATTAATTCATGAATGAAGGACTGATTGCAGCTGGGGGGAGGTTGTCAAACTACTGTACTACATGCCATACTCATCATTGTCATCATCCTATTAGCACTTAGCTCTCTGAACTGGAAAATTTTCCACAAGATCAAGCTTCTTGAATTTGGAAGTTTTGTTGGATTATTTGCAATTTGGTAGTCAGTTTTGATGTGGTAATAAGAGGAAATTATGGCCATAGATTTTTGTTAATAATATTTGATGGTCTCCCTGGTGGTTTGCTACAGTGTGTTGAAGTGGTTGGTTTGTTAGTGTTAGTTGCAGCATGTGGAAGGGAAATTAATTTTCATTGATCTGCACTTTTTCATTAGACTTGTTAATGTATTTAACCTAACATACACACATACTGTAGACAGAAAAAGAAATTCATTGTGACTTGCCAGAAGACAGGAATTCACAAGTACTTTTGGTAGTCACAAGGCAGTTTTTAAGTTTTGCTTGGACTTTATTTGGTGATCTTGTGGGGAAGATAATGAACTCATTGTAAGTGTAGCCAAGTTCCTCAGAAGCCTTGTTTGAGTAAAATATTTTTATTAATTTCCAGATGTCGTAGGAATGCCAGGAAGAATCTGTGGATTCATTGTCATTGACTGGCAGGATGATCCATGAAATAAACTTTGGAATGATGTTTACAAACATAAGTTCATGGTAAGTTTTGCTTTGGTTTTCTCTTGTTCATTTGAATTAGACTAGAAGTCATTGATGGTCTTCAATGGATGATCTTTTATAGAATCACACTTGAATGAGATATTGGTATGTGAGTGAAAGTAGCTCCCATAAACTAAATTCACCGAGACTGCAGGACACTCTGGGCTGGGTGGGCACGTGGGTTTGGTTTTCGTGATAGGAAAAGGAGGTCTCTTTCCTCAGAACTATGTTTTTTTTTTTTTTTTTTTTTTTTTTTTTTTTTTTTTTTGCCAGTTTCCACACCTAATGAACAGTATCGTGTCTAAGGTCTGATCTCAGAATTGTTAAATATAACAAATACAATATGAATAAGTTTAAACTGTCATGAATAAAACATATTTTGGCTAATTTTTTACTTGTTGCCTTTTAAATATGTCCTTTTCACACATTTAAAAATGTTTTCCAAGCTAGTATTCTTTTAAAGTTTGTTAATTTTGTCACCTCCATTCTGGTGGTTTTTATGCAACCAGACCAACCGAAATGTTCTATATTTTCATAACATTGACCTGCAGTATTCAAGCCATTCATCAGTTACCAATAGCAAAAATCTGTTTAATGCAGTTCAGGAAAATCTGTTTTCCTATGCCTTTAAGCAGTGTATTTAAAAGGCTTTGAAAAACCTGCTGATTACTCACATAATGCATTAATTGTGTAACCATTTATCTTGCGTTTCAAGGGAGGTTGCATTCTCCTAGTTCATAGCTTAATGGGACTTCATGTGGTTTTTGCACAAAATTATCGATTAAAATTTTTACTGTTCTTCAATACTTTTTCAAGTATTTACCTATGACAAATTCAACAATATATGAAAGTATACCTGTTGATGATCATTTTCTTCTTCACAGGGCATTAGGTAAGGTAAGTGGTGAAAAGTATTCCTTGGATTTTTATTTTTCATAAAAATTTGACAACGTGGGCAGGGAAGCAATATGCTTTCGTTAGGACAGGCTACCTGAAAAGACTGCCAATCCAGTATGTACTGTCTCTAAGTATTTTCTACAGATGTCATAATTTTATTGTCTGGCCCTCCACCCTCCCCTCTCCCATAGTACCTTATTATACCTGTGGGACATTAGAAGCTTTTCTGTTTGGCACATACACAAAATCCCACAGACAGCTTACAATGGTGCACTTTCTACACACACATTGATTTGCACTTGGCATTTCCAAGGCAGAGATATGGCTTTGAGTTGAAGATAACCAGACTTGTGAGCAATATATAGATTGTCAACAAGTGAAATCTTATATATGGAGAGCAGTTTTTATAAATGTAGGGGTCAGAAATATAAAGAAAAACTTTTTGGTGGTGGGGTGCGTGTTTCATTGAAATGTGGAATTTGTTGTAGTCAAGAAAGTATATGCTGTTACCTGCTGGGTAATTGATATAGGCTAAAAGGGTTTAAAATATATTAAAATAAGGATAAAGAAGGATAAAAATGAGTCAAAAATAGATTATGCTCGAATCTCTCAGGTTTGCTATATTTGCTTTGAATAAATGCTGTAAAATATTCCAGTTGTAGTACACTATGGCCGCATTCCAAATCAAAGTTGATCCAAGGACTAACAGATCTGCGGATCATTGCTGACCCACTTTGAAGCTTGCCGCGTAATCCCTGCAGGAATCTCTTCAGTATCTATTGGGGGATTGTATTTCATGCTTTCAAGGGGTCGGCCATGCTCGATCCCTGGATCTATTAGTCTGTGGATCAACTGGATATGAATGCAGCCTGAGTCTGTTATGGCAGTCTCCAGCAGAGATTAAGTTTCCATTAAGAGCAATGAGAATTCAGAAGTACTTGGATTGATATAGCATTCCAGTGTGTTAAACCAGTGGCTGTAAAGGAGACAGTTGGAAATATTTATTTTTTCAAACCCAGACCTCATTGATGGATTCATTGGAATAGAATGAGGATATAATCCTCCATGTCTATGGGTTTTTATTGTAAGTACCTGCTAGTTTTCTCCTAATCCCTGTTTTCTCATGCTAGCTAAAATAAAATCAAATCATTGGTGGCATATGTATAAATAGTTTCCTTTTACAGTTTGCTATATTTGGCATTCATTCACTGACTAAAATTTCAAGTGATACAATACACCTTTTATGGACAGTAGTTAGTATTGAGAAATCTCTGGTTACTTACAGTTAATAGAAGACCCAGTAGCAACAATGTGTATATTTGGAGCCCCTGGTCGTATCGATGCATGTACAGTGAGCATGAATGATGAGTGCTGAGTGAGCATGAATGATACTTGTTCAGTAGTGGATTCAAGTAATAAATCCCTTGATAACTCCCTGTTACATTTAACTCATGGGGTTAAAAACCACAAGCATTCCTGTTTTCACTGATTATTATAATTGGTGTATGCTATCGTTTGTAGGCCTAGACCTGGGTTGATATTACATGTGGAGGTAATTTGTCTGGACAGGGCATATACTAGTTTTTATGTGTTGAAAAAAATGCTGGAGCTATCTTGATTACCAACACAGATGTTCTACCTCTGATGATCCCCCTGGGATCCCATTAAAAAGATGTAATGAATGCCCAATTTTTGTCATTTGATCTATCTAACAGAACCAGGACAGAACTAGAGGTACAAATAATTCAAGAGAAAATACATTTCATTTGTAAAAATTTATAGTCATTTAAAAAAACATGTAAGTTTTTTCATGTGTACAGTAAGTAGTTTCAGGGTGTTCTATTTGATATTTTTCAGTCAAATGGATTTTACTTCAAGAAAAAGAAAAAAAAACAATCAGTTGAGAAAAGAAATACCAAATGATGGATATTGAGATCAACTTGCATGTTGAACAAACCTGATCACAGCACCTATTTTTGGTGCCCATACTGATGGTCTGCTCTGTGTTACAAAATGGATCTCAATTTACTCAAGAGTTGCAAGACTTGGCCAAAACGAAGAATCACCCAACACTGTTAGAAAATTTGGTTGCACCAGTCTATGCTCGCTTAGATTTCTATTATGTCTTGTTCTGGTGTTTGACATTTATCAGAATAACTTACCTAGTTAACTGAAGGGCTGGCTGTGTATCACATCTTTTGTATCCTACAGTTCTGCCAAGGTTCAATTTTGAGCTTTGTGTTTCTGAGATGTGGTCAACGTGCTTTTGAAAAATTCAATCCAAACTGACCGACCAAATTTAAAACTGAATCTTTAAGAAAAAATTCATTTAGTAGAAATGATGTACTAGTTGGAATAATTCAAGTGGTTACCATATATATCTTATATATACATTCTTTTATTTGTGTTCCAGAGCATGATCCGTGTGTATAAGAGAGCTGTGCTATTTCTGGTGGTGGTGCTCCTGCTCCCTGTGATACTGCTCATATACCTAACCTTTGGAAGTGATGGTAAGTAGACAGTCTCAGAGGCTCTGTAGAGCTAAGTGTTAAGCAAAAACCTACTTTTTTGCAAGAGGCAAGTATTTAAATCACTTGGCAAGACTGACCTATTGGCAAATCATGGAAAAATTTCCTAGAAAAGCAAAAAAAAGACAAAAAAAGGAGTCAGTGCCACATTGGATTATTCAAAGTAAAAGAACTGAGTAGATTTTAAAAAAACATCCCTTTGTCTGGAAAAATGTTTTATTGAACAATAAAATTATGAGTACAGAAATAAATTCAACGTAATGCTATAGCCATAACTTAGATAAATAAAAAAATAAAATTAATTTGGGCCATATAGTCAAGCTGTTGTTGAAATAAAACCATGAACTAATATACTTTTAATGAATATATTTCTTATTTAAAAGATTAGAAATACAAACAACAAGTTTTTTTAGATTTAGGGAAGGCTGATACTTGATACTGTTATCTGGAGAGTTTACTGAAAATAAAAATCTAAAAATACAGCAGTATGTGGATTTAATTTGGTTTAAGGTAAAGCTCAGATTAACTTAAAAGTTGTTCAACTATCTATTAAAAAATACTCAAATATTATAAATTGTTGCAGGATGTATATCATATTGAACTATCGTTTGAAAAACCCTGTCACATTGATAAATAATGAAAAGCTATTGAGTGAAAATCCTTGAAACCTCTATCTTCATGACTGCATGCAAATTGCCATATTAAATACATCCTCAGCAAACACAAAGCTCTGTTTTTTCCCTGGTTGAATAACAGAGGTGTTATGTCTGTGTACACAGGTTTGTAACCTGTGGTCTTAATACAGATAGGCGTGGCACTTCTAGCATGATAATCCAATTAAGATAAATATTCTCCTTTTGGAAATAAATCTTGGCAAAGATTTGATCTGGATCTGCTAGATGACCCTGTGAGATCTTTGGCTGGTTAGACTGTGTTGTTAATGTGTAACAGAGACATCTATATTAGATTACTGATCTTTCCGGCAGTTGTAGTTATTTGTCACTGGTTTGGTGTGGTGTCTAAGAGAAAGCCCAAAATAATGTTTTACTTATATTTTTTAACAAATAGAATTATGCACAAACCATTATATTCAGATCTACATTTTACTGCACTAATTTTTCATGAGCATTGTCATTTTAAGAGAGAACATTTGAAAAACAAGAACAAAAGAAGACCTTTTTCCTAAACTAAAGTATACTTGTTGGAAATATTTATAATTTATATTTATAAAGTTATAACTATTATATTGTTAAAGGTTTAATTGTGTTATAAAACTTTGTTTGTGACTCTAAACTGCTCTTTATTTGAAAAAAAAAAATGATATGGAGCTGTGTATGACCTAGTGCTATCCAGTGCTGGATGGTCAAAAGGGCATGGTACTTAGTGGTAAAAAGAGTAGTTGCTTGTTTTTTACTCCCCTTCCAAACAATGTATAATTTGTGTAGAACAGTTTCAATTTTCTGCCAAGTGATTAACCACAAACCGGTTTCCTGTCTCTTTCATCCCAGTAACTTTTTGCTTGCCAGTTCTAAGGGAGAGGTCAATGAGATTAAACAAAGATACTGTTATGATATTTAATTTGTGTGACTAATAGGGCACAGTCACTTCCTAGATAAAGAATTTTAGTAGCTTTTCATACATGATAAAAATGCCAGTATATTAGTTTATTCAATATTACTTGTCCATTCTGAAAAAAAAACATTGACACACACACACATATATCACATGAAGATGTTAGGTCAAAAAGATAGTTAATGTTCTAAAAATAAATATGTTTTATCTCAGCTTTTATCAAGGAAGTAGACTGGTGATTCCTACTGATCGTTGAAAATGATAATTCTGCAAGGTCACATCCATACAGAAATGAATTGGAATGAAGTATTTTATCCATTTGAGTTCAACATCAGCTCCTTTGAAGTTTTAAATAAGATATCAAGTTTCTGAACTTGAAAATTGGACTCGTATGGAAAAGAGGTAGTGACTTTAAAGCTGAAGCAGTTGCTAAAAAAACACCCTATTCCAAGATTATTTATTTTTCTGTAATTTTTATGTAGTATATTTATTTGTTTTTGTTGATTGACAAAAACCTAGTATTTCAAAGGGATCAAGCATGCTTTTCAGAACTTCAAAATTACTGAATTTTTTAGGGGTACAAGCAACAATTAAAATGTTGCTGGAAAAAAATATCACATTTGATGAAAGAAATCTATTGGCATGAATATCTTAGCTTGGTAATTGGAGCCATTGATTTCTTATCTTGTGGTTTTACTCCATTTTCTGTTAAAAGCTGTTGTCTTGGAATACCTCCATTTGAATTTTTTATCACAGTACTCTTGCCTTGCAGCCATATATGAGGGTAAAAAGCAGCGTGACCTTATGGGGTTTACAGATCGTGAGGCACGGCTAGCAGATAGAGTGCGTGAGGTGGAACAACAGAACCAGATGCTGAGGAGACAGTTGAGGTAATGAATAACAGGCAGCATTGCCAGGGATTGCATTCTTTTTCTAATTTTGGAAAGAAAAAAATTATTTAATTTTGTCAAGCGAACTGGTAGCAGCTTGACAAAATTATTTAATTTTGTCAAGCTGCTACCAGTTCGCTTGTAGTGATGGGGAAAACTGCAGAGTTTCAATCATTTATTTAGTTGCTTTCAGAATAGACATTTTATTTTGGGATGAATTATGAGAAAGAATTTCATGAATTGGGTCTTTGTGTCAGTTTTTTACAATCAATGTGTTAGGGGCTACATGCTTTATTTTATAAATTTTATGGATCTCTACAATGTAGTTTCCCATATACTTCCTGAGTTAGTTAGCATTAGGTGAATATTTATTGTTGCATCATATATCAAAATTTAAACTTTTGATAACTTCAACCAGCTCTGTTTGTTTTTACCCTTCTATTGGGCCACACTCAGCTGGTGGTACATACCCAGGAGGGAGTGATGCCTCTCTGATCCTGAAACAGTTGTTGTGATTTTTTCAGCGTCTCTCAAAATCAGTTAATGAACTACCAGAACAGTCTGGTGATGGACAATGAGACTGGGATATCTTTGATCAATGGAGAAAATGGGAGACCAGTTCGCTGCAATAACCCTGAACCTGAAGTGCCAAAATGTGAAGTAAGTCAATCAGATACTGTTATTACAGAAAATAATAATAATAGTATTAATAACAATATCAGTTGATGGTGTTAATGAAGGTTGACAAAACAAGAAATACTTTTTTAATTTTAAAAACAATTTTACATTGGATTTTCACAAATCTATCAGGCAACCTTACAAGTAGTTTATGATCGAGAAGATTTAATCTAGGAAATGAGATATGAACAGAACTTGTTACAATGCAGTGCTTGATTAATCAATTGCACACTTTGATGCTGCAGTATCTTGAATATAAGGAAACCATATTTCATATACTGAGTGCCCTTATAGTTCATTCTTATATCAGGTCTATATTTGTGTTTAATGTATATTTTATAGATGTTCACTGTATTTTCTTTCCAGGTAATCCATGTGTCCATAGTGTGTGCAGGCTATAATTCCACTAGGAATGTGATCACACTTATCAAAAGTATTCTCTTCAACAGAAAGCATCCTCTTCACTTCCATTTCATCTCTGATGGTGCTGCCAAGACAATCTTACAGACACTTTTCGACTCCTGGAGTGTGCCAGGGGGTAAGTTTGACAAAATTGAATACAACCCGATTTATTTGGCGGGTACAGCTCCATTGCAGATGTTCTGAATACTTTTTGTGTTGCTTTATTTGAAGGCAAAAATTGATTGCATGTCTAGAAAATTTTGTTACCTGCCTTGTACTGAAATGTAATTTGTAATTTTTTAAAAAGTTGTATTTTCTGGACTTTTATTGTATATTGGTGTGTCTTTTTTCAGATTTAGCTGTTGTTTTATTAACTTGGCAATGGTTTTGGGCAATAGGTGAAAACACAACTTGACTGACAAACTGTATTTTTATGTCACCAGTTGAATAGTTTGTACTTGAGTTTGAATATGTTATTTTCAAATTATTTTTGCAGTGCAGGTGAGCTTTTATCTTGCGGATGACAAACTAAAGGTTGGTTTCTCTGCCTATTTTTCTGTTTTAGCCAATTGGTGACTTTGTAAATATTGAACTGACAAACATGGCAAAAGATTATTATGTTGCCAAATATACTTAGAAAATTATATCAGTATTAAAGTTACAGTATATGGTATCAGAAATGAAAGCATTTGTCTCCACTGCTGTGGGAAACTTTAAAGTACTTTAAGTACTAAAGTAAGAAAAACACATCCTCTTTTTTTTTCCAGGCTGAAGTGGCTTGGATACCCAATAAACACTACTCTGGAGTTTTTGGTTTGCTAAAACTTCTACTTCCTAATACTTTGCCTACATTTCTAGACAAGGTAAGCAGGCATGAAACAGAAGTCATTCTTTATTCAGTTTCATGCCACCATAAAGATTATGAATTCATAATGAACCAGATCTGAAAATTGTATTTTTTACTATTAACTGTAGTGTTACACTGTCTATTTAAAAGTGCAATATGTATTATTTTTACTTGCCTTTTACAAGCACATTTGTAGTGATTAAAATTCTGAACTATAGAGAACTTATTTAAAAACATGGTTAAACTATCAAAATTTTCCCATTCCAGGTGATTGTTTTAGACACAGATGTAACTTTTGCAACTGATATAGCAGAATTATGGAAAATATTCTCAAAATTTAAGAGTAAGCAGGTGAGAAATCAACAATTCCTTCTCAGCATAAATTGTGTGTGTGTGTGTGTGTGTGTGTGTGTGTGTGTGTGT